TTATCCCCCCCCCCCCCGGACTCAACAACATTTTGTACAAAATTCAGTGAGAATAGTTTAGAGGCAGCTAATCCCCCTCTTCAACAGCCGTCCATGACCTCCTGCTTCAAATGCTGCTAGACAGCATCTCAAACAGCTTACTGGCATGAATCTAATCTCCTTTCCACAACTATATAATGGCTTAGGTTCCTCTCAACCTCCATCCTTACTCTTAGCAATACAGCAAAAATCAGTTTAGTATGTAAATAAAATTTAAATTTAAATAAATTTAAATAAATAAAAATTTAAATCTAAAGCCAGGTTTGTTCTCATTCTGGTCCACTGAACCATATGCATTTCAGAAATATTAAAAATAATTACTGGCCACTGTCATTTTAAATGACACATTATTTTCATTACTCACGGAGTACTACTGTATAGCACACAAAACAGGAATCAAGAGAATTGCCCCATCTTGCTCATTTCTTTTCTTTCTTTACACCTTAAGGTTTAATTAATTATTTTTACTGCTGGTCACACTTCATGCAAGCAGTTAAAATGAATTGCAAAATGCCTTTGATTACACTTGTGCAATCGTATTAAGTTTAAGATGACCACACAGCAGTGGCAAACAAGTGATTTCTAGACCTGCTTTGTGCAAAATACTGACATTTCTTTGTTAACGTACTGTCATAATGTGGTGATCATTAGCCTTTTGGTCAGCAGAAGCATGACATGAAATTTTATACATATGCAATAACTGGAACTTATTAACTGCTGTAACAACATGAACAGTTTCATTCTGCAAGAAATATGATCACAAAATTCACACAAATGTTTAAATTTCCAGTGTACTGTCATTTCAGAATTTTATCAAATACTCAAATATCTGCCTGTCCCAGTAATTCAACTATTCTGGTTTCAAATATACAAGATATCAGAGATATTTTAAAAAATGCTATTACAGCATTTGTTCCTAGAAAGAGCACCTACTCTTCATACTTCTGTAATAGAAAAAAAAAAGAATTTTATTTCAGGCTCCCCCTATAGCAAATCTAGAAAACCAAAACCATTTAAGGGTTCTGACAGAAAGGAAAATGCTTTATATTTTTATGATCACAGAAGTTTTGACAGTGTCTGCACATATCATTAATGTGATCAAACAGTAAGTAATGTCTTACCAAGGTATCTCAGCTGGGCACTGAAAAAAAAATTAAGGCACTTAACATCCATCATATTTTGTCTGTTTGCTCAACAAAACCTGCAAGTGTGTCAAAATGTTTTAGGCCCATTGGGTCTTATCTTGAAATTAACTAAATCTCACACCGATATTTAAAGTCTGTAAATTAAGCATTTTTGTTTCTCAATAAAACATGAACAAAAGTGTATTATTCTGTAATGTAAAAAAAAAAAATCTTTTATCTCAATAAAATAAAGTGTCTTTAAAATATTATTATAAAGTTTACCAGAAAATTTCAAACTCAGATGCAATAAATAACAGATTAGCTTTCAGGAGGAAGACTTCTTCTTCATTTAATAATGGGCCACCAACCAAATTTCTAATGAAATAATGTAGAAGAAAATCACCTGGCTCAAGGCCAGGCCAGTAATTTTCCTGATTATCTGGTTTAGATTTGTGACTCCAGCTTGACCCTCACTAATACGCTAGTCTATAAACTGCCTGGTTTCCTAATGGCACAAGAAAAAAAAGTAAACCACACACAAGAATCAATGCTGAAAGCTCTGCATTAATCGTTCACCTAAGCATTTTATGTTTCAAAGGTGCAAAAACATCTAGAGATGGAATAAATGTGTATCGGGAAAGAAATCATGCTATATGAATTCCAACAGGATGAGGAAAATTGCCAGCCAGACAGGAACTGTGTGTGTGAGCAGCAGTGCTGCTGCAGACATCCCTTTGGATTTCACACCATCCATGGCCATTACCGACATTAATAAAAGCCATCTGGCCTTGCATAGCTTTATGTCTATATCTCATTGTTTGCTTCAAAGGTATTTACCCATCCCTGCAGTTCTTGGTTCTGAGAGGTAATTTGGAAACTTTGAGAGCTCTGAATAAAGAAAACAAACAGCAGGCAACTAATCATGGTAATAGTGCTTCCAAAGGTCACACTATTACTGTGAGCAATGATACCAATCTTTTTCACTCTTTGAATTTAATTCCGGGGCGGGGGGGGCGGGGAATCCCTAAATTTATGGTCATAACTATTGGAAAAGAAAATTCACAAGTATGCAATCTCTTATCTAATGCCTTGATTAGTAACCGTGGAGGTATAAGAAGCCTTGCTTTCAAATAATGTCCCAAGATCATCATATGTTCAGAATTAACCATCAAAACCTGACTGCCAAAAAATGAAACCGCATTAGTGTATAACTTGCTTTGGGCCAAGTATCCCTACTGAAACGCAAGACATCTGTTCAGAGAAACTTGTGAGAAAGTAAGGATGTTTTCATTTCTCTCTACAGTGACGAGGAATTAAAACAAAACCGTCACAGCACATCTATCAATTACCTTATCTGGATGCATTGGCTTACTCTTGGCTTCACTTCCTCTGTTGCAACTCAGACTGCAAACTCGTGGGGTCTTGTAGGAGACTGGGAGACAAGAAGCTTGGCTGTAGCATCCCAGTAACAGCCCTGAGCTGAGGATGGGAGTCCTGAAGTCACATATCTATTTGCAGGTCTATATTTTGCATATAATATTATTGGAGAACAAATAAACTCAACCAACCACCACCACATTGTATTTGACCATGAGGAAGTATTATTACTATTACTATTACTGTTACTATTATTACTAAATAAAGCAGCCATAGCTGATATGTTTAATGCCAAACAGTACTGCCTCTCTGGGAACTATTCTCAAAGACATGCCAAAATCAGATCCCAAAAGGGGTTTCATCTAATAGCTGGACTCCAAAGGGATTTAAACAGAAGCTAGACACTGCTCAAAAGGAATGGCTCAAGCCATGTGCACAAGACAGAAGTTCAGACCTCTGAAGAATCATCAGGTCAAAGTAGGGTTTTTTTGGAACACAGCTTTAGCTAAGGCGTCAGCGAAGGACAGACGCTCCTAACACATATTTAGAAGTATTGTGGACAACTCAAGTCTCTGTCTTTAAGCCCTTAAATACCTCTGCAAATATGAATACCAGAAGCCTAATTCTGTTGATGACACTTAAGCTCTTCAGCCTTATTTCAAAGGTGAATTCAGGTACTAAATTTTTTTAAAATATTTATCTGTGTTCAAATTTGACTACATTACCCATCAAAGGGTCATTCCCTATTAGCCCTTTATTCTGTATATACACAATATACGTTTTACAGGAAAAATGGACGAGGTGCGTTGTTCTGCTATTTAAAATATTTCCATTTTAATGTCTGCATATTGAATTAGTTAAACAGGAGAAGCAGGATACCTCATTTGGAGTTAAATTAATTTCATCCTGACAGTCAAGAAATATAGTGGGGCTTTATCATCTAACATGCACTCTGTTTTTCAATGCCAGATTTTATCTTTCAAAATAATAATTAGTAGTCATTTTAACATTTTTTCAATTATGAAGACTTATCATTTAATGGATAAAATTTCCATAAACTGTAGTGAATACATTGTGTTAGCCTATTATGTTCTGTATTATTTGGCTGTTATTAAACAATAATAGCATTCACTTTCTTACAATCAAAATTTTAAAAGGAGCTTTAAGTGTAAAGGGAGATGGAAGAGGCAGAGAAGATAAATTATGCAACTGAAAGGAGTGGTTGTTTTTCTCTTCATATCTTAAGTGCAAATTCTTCTTCACTGTGTTTCCCAGACACCATCTGTTTCCAAAACAACCCATCACCAAACATAATGGAGGACATCGGAACTTCTAATAGGAGTTAAACCTGCCAACTTGCAGAACGGTCTGAGCTTTCTCAAACAGAAGAAACATAATAGTACAGAGCTGTTAATAAGTTAAAGAGAGGCAATGGGTGTCACCTCAGATGATGTAGTACAACATTTTAGGGATTTTCATTAAAATCATAGATGGCTTATTACTTCGCAACATTCCTGCACAATTGTTTTAAGAAGTCCAAACCACATTTGGGCATTTAATAGCAGGGTTCATTTCACTTAGGATAGGTTCAGGGGTTTTTTTAATTATATTTTTACAGCTTAATATTTGAGCATGAATAACAGGTCACACCTGCTGAGTGTATGCAATTTATTTGCAATTAGATATCAGTGAAAGTTTGGAAAAATAGAAACTGCCAGAATGATTTATAATAGGGACCCACCTGTGCCAGTACCCTTTCTGCAGGATTTTAGGAGGTGGTACAGGAACCCAATATGTATTCAGGTATATGACAACATGCCATGACAACAGAGCTCCACTCATCTCCAGACAGGCTTATATCAATTCCAAAATATAACTATTTACTGTGACTTCTAGAAGTTCTTATTGCAAGAGCAATATACCATTTTTAACCTGGTTATAATATTGAGTTTAATGATAGTACTGTGCTTACTCAGAAAATGAATTTATCTCTTTGCTTTTCCCTCTCTCCATAGTATGTGAGGAGAAGCAAAAGAAATATTTATTTAGTTTGGTCTAGTAAGTAACAGTTATCAGAAAAGCATCTAAATTATTGCGGTGGGTTATACATCTATTTTTAAAAAAGATCTATGATGTAAGAATATGGATCGGACAGGAACCATCAAGGCCATTGTTTATAGACTCCTGCTTATAGATTCCTGCTATCATATCCACCTATGGAAAACAACTTTATACAGACAATATTCTCTATAATAAATATATTAAGAAATATCACTCTCTATGTGAAATTGTTTATATTATCTATTCTGATCACATCTCTAACAGTTTACATCTTTTTCAAACAAGAAATCCTTAGCAAGTCTGAGATATGATGTCTTTTCTGCCCTTCCCCAGTTCTCCCTGTCCTTCTCCTTCATTCAAAACAATTCTCTCCTTTCTGTAGCCCCAATAATTTATTTCACACATGGAACATTTTTTACTTCCAAATACCTTTCCAGATAATTTTATAGTTATCTGTAGACGAAAAAATGCTTCTGTTGTTCCCTTGGCAGTCCTATTAGATTAAATCCATTAGCACACTTACATATACACGCATTACATTTTGAGCTCTTTCTGTTCATAACATGTGACTCTATTAAGACATTATTCTTTCTTGTTGCCCATACAGGTTCTACAAATTTGGATATCTTCGCTTTCCTTAGCTGAGTTTTTATATCTTCTTTTTTATTTTACTACTACATTAATTCATCACAGGTTCTATACTTCTGACCCTGCTGCCTCAACATACTTAATTACATTACAGGCAACCATCTCCACCCCTGTTCAGTATTCCGAACAGCTTCACTGAGTTTTAAATGCACAAAATGGTCGTTGCCACACACTTAATTTCTGGCATCTGCAGTTGCGATCTCGTGCTTTGTTACTAAAAATAGAGCTGCTTCCAACTACCTGAGCTGGAAAGCTAATCACAGAGCTGGTGAACAGTGCTCCTCCCTATTGAGCAAATGGCAGAATAAGGAGTCTGCTAATGCACGAGGGCGCACATGGCCCTGTGAGTTTGAAATCTATCAAGTGTCATTTATTTAATCATTTGTGGCTGTTTGCTTCATGGATAAATTACTATTTAAGTAAATAACTGCTTGACTGTTGGATCAACAAATCAAGAAGAAAAAAAAAGTCAGCCCTTTTTAGGAAAAAGGATTCTAGCCTAATTCTCAGTTTGCACAGCGTTGCACAATACAGAATAATTTCACTGAAGGAAACAGCACATTGTTGATTTAGACTAGGTAAAATCTAGTTCTCCTGTTTCCTGCAAAAGAGGGATTATTAGAGGACCAACTGTTGGCAGCAGCTTAAAGACTTTTTTGAAAGTTATTTCTGTCACATACAGCAAGAACAAAGAACAACTGCCTCTGTAAGAAAGCAGCTTCTTCCCTTAAAAGGGCTCTCAGCCACGTCTGCAGCACAGCAGCACATTGCCTGGAAGACATTCCCTGCTAAAAAATTTGAAGGTAGAAGTGCCCACGGAGTTTAGATGCTCCTCTGTATTTGTCAGTGAAACACTGGTTTCCCTGCCCCATGGGGCTGATTCTTACCATATAGCCCAATACAAGCTTTGTTGGCAACAAGGTTTCAGCCATCACTCAATAAAACTCAACTCATTTTCAGCCATTACTGACTCAGCAATATATAGATAATACATAAGAGACTGTTAGAATCACTGGGATAGAGCGGATAGAGCTGCAGCCCCAAAACAAAACTGTTAAACACTCGTTGCATTTGTTCATCCAAAACACTTTCTGGGGCTAAGAGGGAAGATAGCCTTCTGGAATTGTAATTTTTTCTTTGAATGCAGAATATTGGAATAAAAGAATTAGGTAGAAAACTACCAGAAAGACCAACTTTAAAAAGAATTTCTATTTATCCTTCCTAACCTCCCAAAAAATGAGACAAGTAAATAAAACCTCAAAGACTGTACTCAACACATTAGAAAAGTTTGGTGGAGGAAAAGATTATGCTACTGAGCATAAACTATTTGCTTGTCATCATGTTTCTGTCATTTAACAGGTACACATTATATTCAGTGCATACAGGGACAGAATTACTATCTGAGGTTAAATACATTATTTACACAGCTCATTTGGGAGAGGAGAGGATGAGCTCCCTCTTCTGTCTCCCATCTTCATGAAAAGGAAAGTCAGGCTGCCCTCAGTCAACAAACTAACTCCTGTTATCAAGGAAAAGCAGTTTACCAATTTTTAGGAAAAATTATTGGAAAAAAGAAGAAAAGATGAAAACTGTGGACTGAGATGGAAATGTGTAGTATAAGGAAGAAAATACAAGAAGGAGCCAAAAAAAGAGGCAAAGAAAGGCATGAGGAAGTCAGACTACAGAAAATCAATAGCATTTCAAGCTATGCATATTCCAAAGAGCAGAAACAGAGAGAACTCCCCGGCAATAACAGCAATGGGAAAACAGAATACCAGCCTTCTCATCTTAAACAGAAGGAATATGGAGAGTATAAATCTGCACACCACATGGCAGTCCCCCACCATGACACCTAAGTCAACTCTGAAGAAGTCAATTCATGCACCAGGATTTGTGTAGTTGTCATATTAGCACAGTGTTTCACGAGGACTGACACATCTTTTTTCTGAGGTATTCTGTGTATGCATAATAGAGCATCTCTGGAGAAAGTCATATATATTTTTCACATCAAAAACCTAAATAAGTGTGTATGTGTGTGTGTGTATGGGACAGGGGGGTAGACAGTGATGAAGGAGTGTGTGTGTTTGATGGAATTCAGTGCATAAGCAACATTAAAAGTCAACTGAATCCTGGCTTTCAATCACTGATCAATCTTCCTGTATTTTCAGACCTTTCTTTCTCATCTAAGTGACCACAAAGACAGTAAACAGCAGATTTGTAAGTTAGATAAAATATGCTTATTATAGTAGGACAAATACCTTTCAAATGATAGTATATTCCAGAAAACAATCCACAAAAAAAGCATATGAAGACAACATAAGCAATATTTTCCCTGCAACTTGTTATTTCTCCCGACATTAGTTCTCACCTTAAGGCAGAGATATGATAACCTTTAATCCTGGGAGCCATTTCTAATGTATTCATTCAGATTTCAAAGACACAACATGGATGGCCTCTTCCCTCATGTGCTACACAGACCAACTTACACCATGTTACTCATGAGTATTTTTAGGCAGCCTGCCTCTGTTGAGTTGAACTTACTAAATTGATATGGCAAGTAACATGTTCCTCCACCTTTCTCTTAAGCTAGTATAAAGTTTCCAATCCCCTTGCCAAAAAAAAAAATTACAAGAAAGGAAGGAAGGAGGGTAAAAACGTGGAATGTGAGGAAATGGTTCAAAATAAGTTGCTTAATTCTTTTAAAGATAAGTTGGCATTACTGGATCTGCCTTGGGCAGTCATGGAAAATGCTCTTTCAGTCTCACACTCCTTAATGAATGAAGTGACTTTGTGAACTTTACATTATTCACACCAAAAAAATACATATTCCACCACACAGGTATCACTTAAACTTCAACCTTCCTAATGAGTACATCAGCATGTGCAAAGACTCCAGAGCCAGAATTAGGTTAATGGAATAAATGTAGGGATGTATGAAACAGGATGGAAGGGGAATAACTGCATTAACACATCCCTTCATTCACTAATTGTCTGCATCAGAGGCATTGATTAAAGGAGGACACGTTAACATACAGTACTGATGCATATGAAAAAGAACTTTATCCCATGACAGACTGAAAGTACGGTAGTTTGCTGTATCATAGTAGCACCAATTTCAAAGGAGCTCATAACCATAATTAACTATTTGCTTGTGCCTCAAAAACCTAGCAACCAGCTATATCAAACTCCCTTAATCTGCAGAAAATTCATTGGAAGTACTTTCTGATTACTGACCAAGTTTCATACAACACAGATATTTAATCTTAAAAGCCCTCAGATGATGAAATTTTTCAAATTTCAAATTCAAATTTTTCTTGACAATTCAATAGATAAAAATCAGCTAGAGACTGGCCTTCCCAGCACAGGGAGCCTGCAAGCAAGAACACAGGATAAATACAGACCAACACCTTACCTCAGCTATGTGTGGCACTGGGTTAAATCCACAGAGATTGCACACAACTTCCTTGCACTCTGTACATGTATTAAAGTTGGGGGGATCCTTAGAACCAATATTTAGTCCAGTTTTACAAAGAGGACAAGACACTTTAGGCTGGCTGGCTTTCTCTGGTTCCGACAGCCCAGCAGGTTTCTTTGCTTCAGCAGCCTGAGGCTTGCTATCTTTAGCCAAACCAGGTTTCTTTTCTAAATCAGAACCTTTAGTCGTTAAAACACTATCCGCTTTGGATGGCTCTGGTTTTTCAGTCATAAGAGGCTTGGCTTCTTTCTTTACAGGAACAGCTTTTGGAAGAGGCTGAGCCTGACTAGACTCTCTGGGGGCTGCCTGAGAGGCTGGAGGCTGTGATGGAGGCTGGGGCTGCTTCACTGCAGGACCAGGCGGAGGAGGGGCTGATGTCTGAGATGCCGGCTGACCTGCTGTGGAAATTAAATTCGAGGCCTGGCTGAAGATTGAAGCGCCAAATCCAAAGAGTTTCCCAGTAACTGTTTCTTGTGGTGTTGTAGGCTGAGGCTTAGGGACATCAGTGATGCCTCCCAGATTAAGACTGAAACGCCTTGATTGCTCAGGAGTTTTCTGAGGTGGCTGGGGTTGAGCTGGCGCTGGCTTGGGACCTGCCCCTGCTTGTGGGCCCTTTGGAGCTGGTTTGGTATCAGGCTTTGGGGCCGGTTTTGTTTGCAGCTTCTTAGGATCATCTTTTGTTTGTGTTGGCTCGATGGGCTTTTGAGTTTTAGCATCTGGTCTAGCCCCAGGCTGAGATGCAAGCTTGGGATCTGACTTCTGCCGAGACACTTGTGGAAGAGGTTTGGAATCTAGTTTATCCCCAGCTGGATGTGTGTCCCGTAATGGCTTGGCAAGCTCTGGCTTTGGGGAATCTGTCACTTTCTGTTGAGTTGGTGGAGATCTGGGAGCTGCCGAATCCGGTTTCAACCCTGGTGCTGCAGAGGTAGGCACAGTGTCTGTCATAGGCTTCTGTGTACTGGGTTGTTTTTGCTTATCTTCAGCCGGTGTTGGCTTGGCCTGATCAGACTTTGGAGTAGGATCTATTTGCTGTGAGACATCAGTAGACTCAGCAAGGGCTTGTTTTGATTTTACAGGGGGAGAGCCAGGCAAGGACGGTTGCTTTTTCTGTGGCAGGGTTTTTTTCGATTCCGCTAGCTGCGAAGGATCAGGTTTTGGAGAAGCATCTTTCTTTTGAACTGGCTGTGGTTGAGGAGATGGTTTAGCTGTTGAGGGTGGAATAGGTGTCTTCAGTTTGGGTGGAGTTGGTTGTGGCCCGGGACCATGACCTGGTGCTAGGTCACCACCTAACGCTCTTTGCATCTGGCAGTTTAAACAGAGCCATTCCTTAATCTGCAGAAAAAAATAATTTTGAAGGTATTATGATTAAGATGAGACAAAGTTAATAAAATCAACATAATAATAGGCTGTTCTAGTGTATGGCTTGTTGCAGTATTTCAGACTTCTGTGTAGAAAGGTAGAAATATTACCACTAATATTGTTTTGCTGTTAACATGCCCAACTGGTTTTTTTCATTCTTCTCCACATTCCTGTGATTTGAGCTATTGCTGAACCCATGTTTCTAATGGCTTTGCATTCAGTTTACACACAGCTGAATACTGGAGGATAAAAACCCAGCAGAATGAAAAAATGCATTGGAATTTCATGGGACCCAGCAGTGATTCATTTATAGCAATGATTTGCCAGAACAGAGAAAAAAAGACAAATACTGCTAAAATAGTTTGACACACCAAGTCTGCTGACAGAAAACAATAATTGTAATTAAAACACAGTAAATGCATAATTACTTTTAAGCATACATCTATCAAGCTCTTTGTACAGCTTATGGTTTTGGTAATGGTTTAAATTACAGACCACAAGTATCACACAGAATCACAGAATCACTAGGTTGGAAAGGACCTTCAAGATCATAAAGTCCAACCATTAATCCAGCACCACCATGTTCCCTAAACCATGTCCTGAAGTGCCACATCCACACGTTTTTTGAACACTTCCAGAGATGGTGACTCCACCACCTCCCTGGGCAGCCTGTTCCAATACCTGACCACCCTCTCAGTGAAGATATTTTTCCTAATATCCAATCTAAACCTCCCCTGGCGCAACTTGAGGCCATTTCCTCTTGTCCTATCACTAGTTACTTGGGAGAAGAGGCCAACACCCTCATCGCCACAACCCCCTTTCAGGTAGTTGTATAGAGCGATAAGGTCTCCTCTCAGCCTCCTCTTCTCCAGATGAAACACCCCCAGCTCCCTCAGCCGCTCCTCAGAAGACTTGTGCTCCAGACCCCTCACCACCTTCGTTGCCCTTCTCTGGACACGCTCCAGCACCTCAACGTCCTTCTTGTAGTGAGGGGCCCAAAACTGAACACAGGATTCAAGCTGCGGCCTCACCAGTGCCGAGTACAGGGGCACGATCACTTCCCTACTCCTGCTGGCCACACTGTTGCTGATACAGGCCAGGACGCCGTGGGCCTTCTTGGCCACCTGAGCACATTGCTGGCTCATGTCCAGCCGGCTGTCAACCAGTATTGGCAGTACACATGTAACCAATGAATTAGGCACAGAGGTGTGTTCGTGGACACCATATATTATACAGACCAACACTTTACCACCAGTTTCAGGGCAAATCTTCACTTGGAATCAGTGAGGAGCTTTGCCTAAGCCCTGATGGTATTTTAAGAGTCATAATTAGGTTTCCCAAAATTCCTTTGTTATTAAAATAAGCTCCGAGGGTAACTACTGTACGCATGTATACCATGGGCCCCTCTTTGTAACACAGAGGAGAAGGAATAAGCAAATAATATATTTGCCCATGTTTCTTACCAAATTTAGTAACTCACAACTTCAAAACATTTTTCTCCTTCCCTAGAAGTATTACATGAAAGGGAAATTCTATTTTCTAATACAACGAAAAAACCCCAATAATCCTAAGTGGTCATCCCTACCTTTGCTTTTGTAAAGCCTCGCAGTCTGAGGAAGGATCAAATAGGCTACAGCAACATATGGTCAGGAAGCATCACGTGCTATTTTCCACATTTTACATCACTAGCAGAAACATTATAGGCAGCAAAAATGCCATTCAATATGGCAATGGGTCCCATGGGCCTACACCTGCAAGTAGATACTTAAGCAGGTCATCTGTAGCTCTACTTCTATTCTTTAGTCTGTGTGTGAAACGCAGGGTACCATTTGCACGCACCACTGCGGCAGAGGGAAACTGCAATTAGGAGGACACAGAATATAAGACTCAGACCTTTTCCCCTAAGGGTGAACACTTCTGGATCCTGTTTCTCACTCAGGTCTGAAACCTCTGCCATACTCCATGGGATGAATCTGGAGGTACTACATGCAAAGAAAGATTGGATCTGCATAGTATCAGAGCGCATTGGAAGGAAAGAACTCTGATGTCATGGACTGAGGCAATGAATTCATTATTTTGGTGTGCCGTGCCAGCCTTGTATTTTTCCAGCAGCAAAAGTTAGAAGGACAGTGGATGCAGTTCCATAAAACACATTTATTCCAGTTATTCTGATAAACATGGTATATACACACTCTGGAATACCAGCTCACTATTACTAGCAGCTTCACAGAGATGTCCAACTTTGGCCTAAGCTATAAATTCACAGTAATCAAATTACCATTCATAATAATGTTGCTTTTATCTTCCATTTCCAGTGCAATTTTTTTAGATTATTTAAACAATTCTCTGATCTATTTGCAACCCATATAGCAAATAGCTGTTAAAAAGTGAAAACAACAGAAACAAAACTGGAACATGTGTTTAAGCTCTGCTTTGAATTATTAAAGGAATTAAGTTCACTGCACAGAGGACCTGAGCAAAGATTACATTTAGCTTAACTCCCATACTGTTTGACTGGTCAGCTCCCCTACATGTCCCCTGTCCAAGGGATAATTACTAGCAAGAAGTAAATCTTAATTATGATACCTGATTTTAGGTATTAGTAATCTCATTTAATTAGATACATATTAATACCATTTCTGGATGAATTCTTATGGGTTTTCTAGAAGGTTTAAGTCTAATCAAAGACGAGACTTTCTGAACATCCACCTCAGCTGTCACAGTTGTCTGGCTTTGGCAAAGTGATTAAGATTTCGTGTATTACGGAGCTGGGTTCTCCTCTACAGTGGAGAAACACAGGATCCTGCGAGGAGCTTTTTAACGGGCCTAAGTGAGGAATGTCTTTTCCCACTAATCACAGAACTTTTACAGAGATTTGGACAATGCACTTTTCATGGTGATTCACTGCTCCTGCTTCTTTTCGACACCTCCACTTGCCTTTTTTTTTTTTTTTTAATGAAAGTGCTGTACTCTAAAGTAAGATGACCAGATGAAACCATGGCAGTAACAGGTGCCCACCTGCTCTCACTCAGCTTCCAGGAAATTTAATTTTAAGTCACTATGACACCTTTAAGGCCCCAAACGAAGTAGCTGTAGGGTTGGGTGGGGTTACAGAATAAGGAGTCTGAATAATTCTTACGTTTAAGGTGTCCAGATTCCAACTGCATTTATAAGCATTTAGGCTTGTCTTCAATATGCAGCTGGTCCAGTCTGATTCTACTACCTAATTGGAGTCCAAACACAAGTTAATTCTCTGCTAAGGTTTTCGACACAATCTTGTGCCGAAGACAAAACCTTAACTCTCAACTTTTTTTTTCCTTGAAAAAAATTATATACCTATATACACACACATGCACTCTCAGTATAAAACTGAAGCCTTTAAAACTAAAAATTAATTTGTGCTCCTACAGCTGAACTTCAAAATGGAAAATATAGGAAGTTTTACTTCACTGTATTATTTTTTAAATCCTTCTGATTTAGACATAAAATTCCTCCCATGCATTTCAGTGGGAGGAATTAAGTGCCAAAACCCTCAAGTCATTATAGGTTACACACATTATCTTCAAACAAATAAAAAACTGCACAAACTGTAGTTCTGTGATTGGAACTGCAGGAGTTCAAAATAAAGTGTGCTACATGATGCAGTTTTGTATCAAACAGTGGCTTCTTCGTTCTAGTGCAATTACAAAGATTTTCCATAAACTTGAATGGGAGCAGGCTTCTGTTAAGTACAGATGCTCCTACATGTTATTGCAGATGAAGTAAAACTTACTGCTGCTGTAGATAACTAAAATACTAATGTTTGTCTATCCCTAAAGGTCTTCTTGGACAGCAGTGCTGTGACTTTCTAGTTTCTTTCTCCATATTTCTTGTATCTCTAGCTAGAATTAAAAGGCAAAAGTTTCCAGGGCAACACCTGAGCTTTTGCAGTTCCCGTCTACTTGTGAAGGAGATTCTTCTTTGATGCTGAGGAACCCAAGCTGTCTGTTTTCACACTGATAGATAGGGGTGTGTTCTGGGTCTTATTTCTAGAAGAAATCTATGTGATTTTCTTCATCCTGAGATCCATGCTGTTAAGTGTCATGACTAGGACTGTAAATTGGAGGTATTTCATGCAGCGTTTTTGTTCAGATTTCAACTTCTGATGACAGAAAGTACTACCTTGCTTTCTAACTCACTGATGTAGAAGCTATATACCCTAACAACAAAGAAGTAATTAAAATATATTTTATGTATTCATCAGCCATCTTTTAAAAGCTTCATAAAGACTCTGATAGTCGAGAGCACCAAATGAATTTATTCAATGTTTTAGTAACAACATCCCTGGAGAATTACATTGAAGAGAATTATAACACACGTTCCATAGCTCACCTTTTTTCATTCATTCATAATCTAACCAGTGACTCCAATAACAAATACCAGCTACATTTCAGTTCTCCTTATCCCAAACAAAGCCAACACAACTGAAGGTAATCTGGAGCCTCTTCCTTTCTGCAAACGTGTTCAGATTTGTTCTAACTATGCAAATCCATCAAAAGCCATAGGAAAACCATCAGAAAGTGAGTGCATTGAGTGGCGTGCTCAATTTCTATTCCTGCAGATGATGTAGGGGAGGAAAAGAATCCAGCTTGATTCGAAGATTCCAGATGTACTGTGAGAAAGAAATTTTGACTTGCAGATTGAACATATTTCATGTAAAAATTACTGGCACACAGTACAAATGTAGCTCTCGGAAGCCATTTTAACAGCCCTTTTGCAGAACAGAGCCGCATTCTAAGGCAATGGGTCTCATTCTCATTTAGACTACTCATTTGGTACTATAAAAAGGAACTTTAAGATATAGGTAAAATATTAACATCCCTTTACATTGCCACAGAAATGTAAAGATTTATAGAGCCTTTGCATTGCCACAGATATGTAAATGTCCTTTGCTGACATTGCTCAGCACGGCCCCAAAGCTTTATCGACAAAAT